GCAACAAGACCCAAAGCTCAGGAGATGCAAATGTTTCCAGCTGTAGCAGAAAAACACAACAGTCAAAACAGCACCTGGGATGTTAAGAAGCAATCCAACCCAGTTTACACCTGCAACCACTAGAATGGAGACCACCAACTCTCCAGATACCAGGCTGCACTTTAAAGGTACACATCAAAGCTCTGGACAAGGCTGCCATTAGCCAACGGGGGAAGGAATCCAGAATCCTGCAAGAGAACCTCTTACCTTCTCGAAGGCAGCCAAGAGGATGTGGGCATGGCCAGTCACTTCCACAACAACTAGGAGGCAATTATAAGGCCTGTGAGAATCCAGCTAGGAGTCCAGCAGCTGGGCCAACTCTATGCCTCAGAGCCAGGAGGAGACAGTCTTCACCCCTTTTGCTAGGTGAAACCTCTGCTGGAGACCACTTGGGCTCTCCCAACCAAGATGGGGGGGTGGGGGTGGCAAGGGATTCCCTTCTTGAGATAGGGGCAAAACGGACAAATCCCAAGGACTGAAGGGAGCAGCTAATGCTGGGATGTCTCTCTGCAGGACAGCAGGAGACTAGCAGAACGGGAAGGCCCTTCTTTCCAAACATCCCAAATGATTGAAAGGCACCCTTGCCAGTTTTAGTGGAGTTCAGACCACTCAACAAGTGGCTGTCCAAGCCCCTTTAGCCCTGCTTTTCAACCCCCCCAACTGACATAGCCCCAAGGGGTGCTGCCCAACTACAGGCACGAATCTGCCTCATACCATCGCCTTCGTCTACCGTGGCTTGGATGACCACTGGAAAAATGCCCCGGTCAAGATCAAAGTTCAGCTGGAAGGAAAGGCCAAGATATTAGCCACAGACTGAGAGCATAGCAGAACATTTATCTGAGAGGCATCCGAGTACATGCTGGCTCATTCATCTCCTGCCCCTCCTGTGTTGGGGGGCAAAATCACTCCTCGGGCAGAGCAATGGAGCCGTGGCAGATGCAATCGAGGCCAGGCTGACACTGCCTTCCTGCCCTCTCGGCTCCTCCCTCTGGGTCCAACAACTGGACTGATTTCCCAGAGCCAGGCAGGTTGGCTCTGGTGCCACATGAACCCAGTGGCTTTGCATCCAAAGCCCTGAAGAAAGACCAAGGAAGCCAAACCTCTCCCAAATCATAAACTGCCCTGACTCTCATCTATTCGGAAAGCAGCTAGAAGGCCGGAAGAGTCACCTCTTCATCCTTCCAGTCGGAGAAGTCGATCTTGAAGGACGGCAGGGAGAACTGCTGGCTCACTCCCCGCTTGTAGTGCACCGTCTCCGATTGCAGAGAAGGATTCTTTGTGCTGTAGCTGCAGGTGAGGGACAAGGTCAGAGGCGCCACCCCAGGAAGCAGTGCTTCGCTCCACCTGGGCCCACAGGCCCCAACCTCTCCTAATTTCACCCCCACCCCCATCTCTGCAAATGAGTCTGGGAGCCGCCACTTATCAGCTGCAGACAACTGAGCAACGTTCACATTTCCAGAAGCTCCACCAAAAGAAGCCAGACTTGGGACAAAGTGAATCCAAGAGGCCCATTCATTGCCCAACCCCCCAGTCCCTGTACTCACACAGCCATGCCACCCATCAGCTCCTCTGTTGCTTGACAGTAGATGGTAATGGCCACCCGGGCATCTGCATCAAAGGTGAATTCAAGACTGTATAAAGCCTTCTGCTTCCCGTTCTCCTCTGTGGGGCTGTCAACATCTTCTTTGTACCTGCACCAAGGAAAGTTAAGTCAGCAGAGAAACAAAATCCACCCACTGCATCTCCCGGATGGGCAAAAGGTTGATTCGGCAGCTGAAATCTCTCAACCTCCTTACATTTCTCAGCCTTTTCCAAATACTGTTACAGTAACTGCCCTGCAATTACACTGTTGGCAATCTCTGCTAAGGTGCCTTCAAAGAGTTCTTTAATACTTGTTACTTGTTTTTTTAAATATAAAATAGTAACAAGACTAGACAAAAAGGTGTTTTTCTTTTCTTAAATAGCTGGGGACAGAGTCCCTGATCAGCATATATGCCCATCTCACCTTTCATCTTCTCTTAATTTCTCTGCCAGGCTCTACTTGGGTCTCTTGGTCGCTTCCTTCCCAACTAACCAGTGCAACTCCCAGCTGCCTGACCATTTATGAGAGGCCTTCAGACAGGAAGAGCCTCAAAGGCTGGGCAGCACAACGAGCATTTGGAATGCCACAGCTCAAACCAAATCGACTCTGGCCACAAGAGTCTGCCAGTCATTGGCAAAGAATGAAAAACGTGGTAAGGGAATTGCAATGCAAAGGGAAAAACAACCCCCCCCCCCAATAGGCAGCCCTGGCAGGAATCGGATCACAAAACCTGCCAAACAGGCAGCCAATCCCAGGAGCTGGAAGAACTCCCAACCGCCACAGTTTGGCTTGAAGTACCTGACCAGACGCAGGGAGTCTTTACGGATGTTCACCAGGCTCCGAAGGGTCTTTACTGGCTCATGAGGGGCTGGGGTCACATAGGGAAACTGAAAAGACAAACCAAGAGTCTGTGAGGCAGGGTGAAAGGCAGACGGGCAGCATGATGTGGTCCAAACAAAGAGGATGGGAGAATTACCCCCCCCCCCAAAAAAAACAAAAGGACTATGGTTGAGGTGGTTTGGCTTTCCTGGGGATGCATCCATGTAACAGGCATATCCCTGTCAGTCCAAGACTTTGAAGCTCATTTAGCATTATATGCTAGATTCACTCCTGGCTGGACTCTCTAGTTGGCGTGACGCCAACTCGTTGAGATATGTTCCAGCACACTATGAGTTTACTATACCATTAACTATAAAAACAGAACTGCATTCAAATTCATAACTTAGAAAAAAGCATCAATTGAAATTCAATATTTCCCACATTCAGTGTTTTATGTTTTTTAATGCGGTGCAAATTTTAAACAAGAACTATTTTTTTAAACACATACATAAAATTAATATATAAATATTAATTTATCCCCTAGATATACCTTCCCCCAGTTCATTTGGATCCCGAATAAAACCCAGGTCCTAAGGAGAAAAGTTCCCACGGCTGCCTGCGCTGACCTGGACGGGGCGGTTGCCCAGAAAGTTGAGGTCCATGTTCTCCCCAAAAAGGTAGCCCTCGGGATGTGGCATGTCGAACTTCTCGCCGCCCATGAAGAAGTGGCTGGCAAAGTAGTTGCCTGATGTCCAGAGGAAGAAGAGAGGGAGGGAGGGAAAGAAAGGAAGAAAACCTTCCAAGGCCGACCTTCCTGCTTCTCCGCGGCCCAGACCCGGCTTCCCCGGCCCTCCCGCGGGCCCCGCCACCCTCCGGCCGACTCCAGCCGCGGGGCAGCCGGCCCACCGGCGGCTGCCGTCTGAATACGCGCGGCCCTGCTTCCCGCGGGGCCCCCGGGCGCCTCCAAGGCCCTTCCGGCTCGCTCGGCGGGGAGCCCCGCGTTCCTTTCCCTCCGCGGCCGCGTTGGCAACCCGCTGCTCGGGCTCAGATAGACTGCCCCACGCCACGGAAGCTCTGTTCCGCCCCACAAGGACCGCTGCCCGGAAGGCCACCGGGGCCCAGGAAGCCCGGCCGGCGCCCACCCCGAAGCGGGGAAGGGTTCCCGGCCGGCGCCCGTGCAGAGGAGCCCCCGCCGGGCCTCACCGGACTTGGGCGGGTAGCGGTAGGCCGAGTTGGCCTGGATGTCGATGTCCTCCACGCCGGCGATGCGGCGGCTGAGCAGGGAGCCCATGGCAGGGCAGGAGCTGGCGGCGGTCGCCCCGCTGTGTCGCCCGTCAGGCAGGCCTGCAGGCCGCTGCCGCGCAAAGCACCACGGGAAAGCGAGTCATCACTCCCCGCCCGCCCGGTAATCGTCAGCCCTCTCGCCCATCCGTGGACTACGTTTTCCAGCAGGCACCGCGCTACTCTGGGAAAACAACAACAAGCGCCCGTCAGCTCGGGCGGCACTAAGGAGAAAGGGCGGGAGCTGCGGCCGTCAATCAAGCCGGCGAAGCCCCGAGAGCTAGGAAAGTGCAGATAGAACTGTGGCAATGGACTAGGACAGAAGCCGCGCTCTGGCAGAGCATGATGGGAGTTGAAGTCCACCTTCTACAGGCAGCGCCGGAGCGGGGCTCCAGAGGGGCTGCCCGACTCAACAGCGCGGCCTCTATCCAGGGTCCTGAAGATCGTGGCTGTCCCACTTCCATGCCCTGCCTCAGCTTCGCGACTGGCGGCCCGCGGTGGAAAGCCCAGGCCAGAAAACCGCCGGCCTCTCCGCTGCCCCCAAACTGAGGCTTCTCATCGGCCCTCCGCCTCAACCTCCGGCCACGGCGACCCCCCCCTCAAGGAAAACCAAAAATGGCCGGAAACGCAGCACGGGAGCCGGGCTAGAGCAGCAGCACCCCAGGAGGCCGTGGGGGGCCCCGGCCTGTCTCCCCCCCAACCAGGATGAGCCTGGCAGCTCCTGCAGTGGCTCCCTGGGAGTCATTCCCAGAAAGGGTTCCGGTGCCTTCAAGCACCCCTCACTTTCATCAGCTGAAGTGGCCCCTAGAGGAAGAGGGCCAAGGATAGAGGCTGCCTGCCTGCCTGCCCCTCGGGAGCCACCACCCCACACGGGAGAGGGAGGAGGCAGCTCTCTGCCCCGAAGGGCCTTTGGGTTTGAAGGGTGATGGACTGTTGCAGGGAAACATGCCCAGGCCCACCCTTATTGGGAACAGATCTGTCCTCACGCAGAAACCCCCACGCCTCCAGTTGCCCCTCATGACAACATCTAGGCTTCAAGCACCAATAGGGTCATTTCCTCTTTTTCAACTGCCCACCAGCCTGGACTGATCTGCTTTTACCAAGACATCCAATGAGCATCGCCAGTTCCCCCTTCCTGGCACTGGGGGGGGGGGCTTTCCCTCTGTTGCTAACCACCCACCCAAGGGAACTGCTGAGGCTGGAGAAAAAAGAACCAAGCCCCTTTCTTGCCTGCTTGCAGAACAGAGGCAGCAGTTCACAGCATGTAGAAAAAGAATATTTATAGAATCATTTTCTCACTAGATGAATGCTTTCCTGTGCCATGGCTGAGACAGAGACAGTATCAGGAATATCTCCGAAATCCCATATGGAGAGGGAAGGAGAAGCACATTGGTCAGGTTTCTGAAGATGCCAGGGTCTAAACTGGAATCTCTGGCAGATCTTGGCCCCTGAAATACTTGTGTTCACTGTCATCATAATGAATGTTTTGTTCGGGAATCCTGGTTCACCACGGAGAGAAGCACCAATCTTAGCCCATGATCTGCTGCACATCTGACATGAGTCGGGCATGATGGTAGTTGTGGACACAGCCGCTCCCCTTGGAAAGCCAGGCAAGTCTGTGGCTTCTGTTTCAGATGGGTGGGAAGCAGCCTCTTCCGTTACAGTATCAGCAGTCTGACAGGGATGACCAAAATCTTCAGGGAATGCTAAAAGCTACGGCTGCCCCTAGGAAGACAACATAATGGAGGTTGGCTGAAGGGCCTAGCCCAGATAGCTCAGCTGAGAGGGAAGGGAGCCCCACAAGACACCTCTGCCTCTACCACTTTCTGTCCCATCTGGCAGGTATTTTAGAAGAGAGAGGAAATGAGATGGGGCTCATGGAGAGTTGAGCTTACAGGCCTGGAACCTCCCGTTCGTTCTGAACGTGGCTTTCACCGAGGGTCGCGCCAATAGCTGTTCTGTCCACAGGGTCACAGCTAAGCTCCTGCGGTCGCTGATTGCTGTTGGCTATTGCAGACCCCACTCGACGGAGGATGGAGGCTGGAAAAGAGAGAAACCAGATAGGATCAGGATTCCTTCCCAAGAGACATTTTCCCCCATGCTACACTGGCCCCACTCACATTTAGAAGAACTTGAACCCTGTCAGAAAAGAGGCCAACTCACAGGGGTAGGGCACTGCACTGATGTCTGCAAAGGCAGAGCGAACTCTCTCCATTCGCACCCCCGTCGGAGGCCGGGGAATCTTCAGAGCTGTGTGGGGAAGAAGCACAACAGCCAGGCTGTGAGGAGATTGCCCAAGACTCTTGCCGTGTAGAATGTGGTGCTCGAAGTGAGGAGCGACTGAGTTGGGGAATGAGGAGAGCAAGCCAGAATACCCCACTGGGTTCTCCTGTGGCTGGGGAGGGGATTTCCAGCCACTTGGTTTCCCCTAGGAGGACAGACATGCCTCCCCCCATCAGGCTGGGAACAGGTGATAACCCTCCCTGGCATGCAAGACGGCCAATTCACCCACCTGCAAATTCCTTCTGCAGGGCAAATGTCCGCTCTGCCGCATGTGAGCTCACTCGGCCTTTGTAGAGGACCCCGTTCACTCCCAGAATGTCTACCTCAGTCTGAGACAAGAAATGCACAGAAAGAGAAGGGGCCACCTGTGAGCCCCAGAGAGCAGCCGGGTCAGTCCGAGAGGGACTGCTGCTGAGGAGGAACCTCCATCTCCAGAGGTTTCTTCCTCCCTTGTCACCACTGAGGTGCTTCTCCCCTGGATGGGCCCAGCAAATCCCTCAGGAGAGGACTTCTCCCTCCCTCCCTCCCTCCCTCCCACCCAGGAGGGCTCACATTGTCGTAGGTGATGGCATTAGGGTCCCCGTAGGGGTAGAGGGTGGCGAAGTCCTGGGCCCGGGATAGGTGCTTGAGGGCGCAGGCTTGCTGTTGGGCTTGGCATTGCCAGCAGGTCTGCAAAGGGGGGTTGCCACTCAGTTCGCTCGGATCCTGATCCCTGGGAAGGGAGTCAGAGGCCCCGCTCAGCACCAGCAGCAAGTGGGCGGGCTGCCCTCTTAGCCCCAGAGACACCAGCACCACGTGAGAGGCAAGCAGTAAAGGGAATGCGGTGCTGGGGCGAATCGAGACATCTCTCTGATGGCTGGGAATGCCTATCCAGCAGGGAGGTGCTGCCTCTGGATGTGTGAAAAGAGCTGCTCCCAGAGTTCCCACCCAGTTGGTCCAAAGACACACACACACCCCCGCTGTCTCCAGCCAAGTCACTGACCTTTTCTGCTGGTGGAACAGGTATTCGTAGCCACTGGCACTGACTGGACGAGGCTTCAGCGTGGCTTTCCGGACAGTGATCATGTGCCTGTGAAGAAGCACGGGGCGAATACAGTTGTTGCTCCTCCATCCGCTGCCCAACCCAGAAAGGCCCTGGGGATACTCACGGCCCGGTCATCATGGTCACTGGCCGGTCGCAGGAGATGCATTTCACTCTCTCAAAGAGCTGCCTGCAAAGCACAAATCAACAGCTGTTGCCCCAGGGCTGGGGCTGCATTCCCAGCTCCACCACGTCTCCCTCTATCACCGAGGGGTGAAGACCCACAGAAGAAGGGGCGCCTCTGGCAGGCTATGCAACGCGTGCACACACACACATACACACACAGAGCTAGGCTCTGCCATCCCCTCCTCACTTTTTGAAGCCAGCCGCGCTGTCAGCATCAAAGCGAGGCCCCTCACTCAGGTACTTCTTGATGAACTTCCACACCTCCTCCAGCTGCCGGCTCACGGGATCCAGGGCCAAGCGGTCCAGCTGTGGGGCAGCAAGGGTGGCTGAGTGGGCCCTCTTGCTCAACAGGAGGGGTCTGCTCTGCAGCAGCCAAGGTCTCCCAGGAGGGTGCTGGGCAGGGAGGGGTCACCTTGCAGTCCATGTCCACGAAGAGCTTCTCGAGCGCCTTCTGCCAATCCTTGTCCTGCAGAGACATCTTTTGCAACAGATCCTGCATCATCTCGCTGAGTTGGCTGGTGGCCACCTGCAGCTGCCCATGGTTCACCATTGCCTCCAGCGCACTCTTGTCAGCTTTCTGGGGGCAGACAAAGCAAGTCCTCCCTGCATCCCAGGAACTGACAGAGGGGGGCAAGGGAGATCACCAGGCCAGGAGAGAAAAGCCTCCAATTTTCCCCCAATGTGGGTAGATCTTGGAACCAGTGTTCCTGACAGCCAGTGCCCAGATGAGGAAGGGAGAGAAAGTGCCCTTTGCTTCCAGAAGGGGGGCTCCTGTGGTTTGAATGCTTGAATTTGAGGCAGGGAATCAACTCCCTGAGCTGCTGCTGGGCACATGCAGGCCCAAAAGGAGGCTAGATCAGTTGAACGTCTGCCCCTTAAAGGCACAGAAGCCCCGTGACTGCCTCTATCTGGAAAAAGTGGCATCTTTTCTTAAGAAAGGCATTTCCCTCACATGAATAGTGACATGACTTCACTTAATCTGTAGTGATGCTGGAGCAGATATGCCGAAATCCCTGGGATTTCTCTTCTGTCCGAGATTGAGGTGACTTCAGGTAGGAAAGAAGCAACCAGAGGCTTCATCCAGCCCAGTTTCTTTCCCATACCAGAGACTTGATTGGGGTGGGGGAAAGATCCTCTCCTCCAGTTCCCAGAGACTCACCACATTCATCTCCTCTTGGATTGAGTCCTTATCAGCTTTCTTGACATCCAACTGATGCAACATGTTGCGTATGATCTGTAGAGGGAATACAAACTCTGCTGCAGACTCAGTTTTTTTCCTCATGCTCAAATGGCCTGGGCTGCTTCCTTGCTTCTCCGCCAGCCACAAGCTGTGGCCGCTGACTGAGTGGCAGTACAGCCCCGTACCTGCATCTCCGTGCTGCTCCTGGCTAACTTCTCCACCCCCTGCTGCAGTTTTTCATACTGTTCCCTCAGCTTCTCCATCTGCTCCAGGGTCTCTTGCAGAGATTCCTTTCCCTGAGGAAGAAGCCAGTGTCTCCATTTGCTCCCTGGCGTGGCCAGCAGTATGGCCTGAGTCCAGCCACTGTGTGACCGGCACCTTCCCCGAAGAGGCCCGGGCAGATGCTCTGCAGTGCCTGGCCAAACCCAGGCCTGATTTGCATTGGGCTTTTCTTGCATTCATTGAGAGCCCTTCGCGGGCAGGAGCATCAAGGCCTTGGCTGGCCTGGCTGTGGGCCTTCAACAGGCAGGATTCTGAAAGCGCTTTGGGGTCTGTTTGCTGCTCAGACCAAAGGGGGCTTCCACCCAGAACCTCTTCCCCACTGGATGCCATCTTGGATGAGATGCCCCCCTCTCCTCAGTGGCAGTGGACTGTCGAGCATGTCCAGACCATAGGGTGATTTGGCCCCTTAATGCTTTGTCCCTAAATTTCTATTGTCCTGCAAATCCTATGCCCCCCACCAATGGACGATCTCTCTCTCTCTCTGTGGCTTGGCTTTGCACGTTTATGGAAATATATTCATGCAGGCCCCCCATCCCTTGCCAGGTTACGCTCCCCAGGGTACCTGCTGGCTCTGAGTTTGCAATATCTCCATCCGTTCCAGCAGCAACTTCAGCTCGGGGGACATTTCAAAAGCTAGAAATAGAGGGAAGAAAAGGACTTGTGCCAGATTGCTCAGGCTTAACCAGCTGGAGGGGTGGGGGGTTGAGGCTGGAGCCCCCAAGATGCATTAAGCAAGAGCCAGAGCCCACCTGATCCTTGGCCTGTGGCTCTCAAGGCAAGTAGAGGGCCAGGAGACAGCGCTCCCAGTGGAGATCATCCCAATTGCCCCCAGGAAGCAGCAGTTGGGCACACCATGGGCACTGCTATCCCCTTGTCAGCCTCACCTGCAGGTCCTGCTGGGTACTTCAATTGGGCCTCCAGCTGAGTGATGTGGTTCAGGAGAGCTTCATGCTTCTCAGGCAGTTGGCTCAGAACAGCCAGGATCTCCCGGGATGTCTGTTCTCGGACCCTTGCCTTTTCCTCTCGGCCCCTTTCCTTTTCCTCTCGGCCCCTTTCCTCTTCCTCTCGGCCTCTTGCCTTTTCCTCTCGGCCTCTTTCCTTTTCCTCTCGGCCCCTTTCCTCTTCCTCTCGGCCCCTTTCCTTTTCCTCTCGGCCCCTTTCCTCTTCCTCTCGGCCCCTTTCCTCTTCCTCTCGGCCCCTTTCCTCTTCCTCAAAGGTCTGAAATGCCAGAGCGGGGCAGGAGGGCAGCTATGCCTTGCAATCAGGAGTTTCCTCCAAAAGGGGCACTTCTGCTGCTCAGTTGTAGGGCATCAGCATGGCGGGGAGAAGCTGCTGCAGGGACTGGCCCCCTGCCACTTTCCTCACCCCAGCAAGGGAGGTCCCGGCCTCCAGACCCACCCCATTCTTGCTGCACTTTGCCTGCCCAGGTGAGTTGACTCCAATTTGTCTAAGGACGTGAATCTGACTCGCCTGTGTGTTGGTGGGTTTGCTCCCATCATGCCAACGGAACTATGCTGGCACAGAGAGATGCCAGGTGCCCCATCTGGGCCTTCAGGGGGAGGATGCAATTCAGTCATACTCACTTTGCCGGTAAGCGTCTCGCAAAGGGCACTCCAGCACACCACATCCGAAGCACTTGCAGATAGGCTGACCCTTTCTTTCACGAGGCCCTGTGTCCACAGAGGGGAGAAGAAGGTTGAGCCCATTGGGGAGAGGGGAGCTGAGGCAAAAGTTTGCTTTCAGAAGCAGAAGAGGTTTTTTTAAACAGGCTGGACCAAGCAGGACCAAAACTGGAGCCTCCCGTAGGTTGTCTGCAAAGCCCAAGAGCTCCGGCCCAGCGGGTGAGAGGTGAGAAAGGGCAAACGCTAAGGAGGGGAGAATGATGCCCAAAGCTGGACAGAAAGGCCTATACATTAAAGGCGTTGTGTATGTATTTTTTTAAATTAAAGTTTCAGGTGCCCCCTGTGGAAGTGCCACTCTGTCATTCTTGGTGTGCAGAGTAACCACCTAAATGCTCTCGAGGCCCAGCCAGTCTTTGAAGCGTTGTGTGTGTGTGTGTGTGTGTGTGTGTGTGTGTCCTTGAAATTCCACCACATCGTCTCACCCCCATTTCCGCACTCCCTGATGCTTTGTCTGCCCATCTGAAGGCCTTGCCCCGCTCCCTCTGCCAGCAGGTTCAACAGGGGTGGCTGCAAGGGGCAAACGGAGAGGCAAGAGACGCAGGGTAAGGGGTTAATGGGGGTGGGGGGGGACCAAGGGAGTGGCCAGAGCGTGAGGGTTCAGGATTCTCTCACCAGTTGCTCCTTCATTTCTTCCATCATCCTGGCCTGTTTGTCCAGGCACAGGAGCCGCTCTTTCATTTCTTCTCCATTGATCTGTTCATAGTAAAACCGGAATCAGAGCTGCACCTCCTGGGTGAGGAGGCTTCCTTTTCCATCGGAGCCTTTGGTCGAAGGCTTGTCTCCCTCCACGGAGAAAGGCCTGACCACCAAAAGCACCCTTCTGGACCCAGGCCAGGAGTCTCTCTCCCTCAGGACCACTCACCTCGGCAATGTCTTTTTTCAGCTGCCCCAGTTCTTGCTGAAAGCCCTCCGTGGCCATTTTCAGAGAGCAAATGCTATTCAGCAGGTCCTGCAGCATATTCATGGCCTGAATGGGAAAACAGGAGGCGTCACAGAGGGCCAAAGACCAACGAGTGGCCGCCTCAGACTCTGCACTACTCGTGGCCTTTCATACAGTTGTTGCAATCCAGGGAAAGGGCAGGGCAGGGGGCAGGTAGCCACTCCTTCATTCTCAGAACCTTCGTGGCTCCAAAGCCCCACAATCAGACAGGTAACCCTCACATCCCTAATTATGTCTGAGCAGCCTACAGTGCTTGATCAGGAGGAAGGTGGGGAATTAGGAATTTAGCATTTTGCCCAGAGAAAAACCTTGCCTTAGTGGGTATTTACACAACTTTTGTAACTCAAATGGTAAAAGGAAGAGATGGTGGAAGTGATTGGGGGGCACTGGGAAGCAGTGGGGAAGTCGCAGAAAAGGGGGGAAGCTGTCCTCAGTCACAAAGGTGCCACACAAAGGTGTTCCCTATTTCTGGTTGCTCAAAGCCTCTCCTCTATTCACCCAGCAAAGAATTTTCTGCTTGCCGGATGGGCCGCAGGGAATTCCAGGTGAGGATGGCCGGCTGAGGCGTTGACTGGCAGCCTGGAGGGGGTACGGTTTGGGGCCCAGCCACCTGCTTGCAAAGGGCAGGGCCAAGTGGGGTTACCTTGGTCATGCCCTCCTCGTTCAGCTCCATCTTCTTCTTCAGCTGCATCATCTGCCACATGTCCAGGGCAGGCTGGCCCAGGCCCTGGCTGCGGACCAGCAGCTCGGCGGTGTCAGGGCTCTCATTCAGGAACTGGAGCTGCTTCTCGATGGCGGTGATCCTCTCGTGCATCTGGTGGAAGATGGAACTGGACTTCTGCGCCACGGGGAGGGCCTCGGTGGCCGCGGAGGCTGCGGAGCTGGCGGGCGGCTTGATGAACTCCAGCTCGTCGGCCGACACTTCCTTCCTCATGTCCTGCAGGTGCAGGTGCTCCACCAGGCTGTGCAGGAACAGGTGCAGCGCGTTGAAGTTGACATTGCCCAGCTCCGGCGTCCCGATGGCCAGGTTGATCAGCTCCACGAAGGAGAGCTTGTGGCTCATGGTCCCGCTGCCCTGGGCAGACTCGCGGCATCAGCGGCGGGCGGCGGCGTTCTGCTCGCGGGAAAGTTTCTCCCGGTTGCTAGGAGACCCGGAACGCGGCGGGGGGGCGGAGGCGGGCGAGCCGGGAGCCGAGGCCAGGGGCCCCGGAGCAAGGCTGGCCCTGGCACCACCCCCACGCCGGCCACGCAGGGCGCCCACTCCCCGGGGCCCGGCTGCGGCGGCGGGGAACCCTCGGCCTCCCAGCCCGGTCCCAGAGCGTCTCTTCCGTAGCGCTCGCCCTCCCTCGCACCGGGGACGCCGGCATCGGGAGTCTCCCGGGCACCCGATCCGCCCTGCCGGGTTCAGACAACCTTGCCGACACGCGTCTGGGCCCGGTGGGAGCCATTCCGGCGCGCGGGGGACGGCGCTTCCTCAATCTGGATTGGTCCCGCCCGCCCCGAAACCCCGCCCCGCTCTGCCGGGCTCCGAAGCGGCCGGCTGGTCTCGCTCGGCAGGTGAGGGCGGCGGGGAGGGGGGGCAGCGGGGCATCAGGGCCTTCTGGGCACCCGAGCGGCTCCTCGCGCGCGGCATGCTGGGGGTTGTGGTCTCCTGGACTACCCTTCCCTTCTCCGCCAGGCCCGCCGGCCGCGCCGCGTCTTCTGCTCCGGAGCCGCCGGCTTCGCAGCGCCGCTGCCGACCCGGGAGCCTCGGGGCCGCTGCAGGTGCCGCCCGGTCGCCCTCCGAAGGGAGCCGCAGCCCGCGGGGGCGGGGGGGGGAGCCGTTGAGCGGGCAGAGGGTCTCCGGACGCCGGAGGGACGGGGGGGCACGGCGGGCAGCTGTGCCCTCGGGTTGCTCGCCCGAAGGAGGCCCCGCTCTGGCCCGGGAAGGGCTGTGAGGAAGCGGCCGAAAGGACCCCCGGCGCCCCCGCTGCTGCTGCGCCCCTCCCGGGCGGGGATCGCAGGCGCGGCTCTCCCGGGCCTCCGTCGTTGCCCGCCCAGCAGCCCCGGGCGCCTTGTTGGCGGGCAGAGGGAGCAAGGCGCGCTGCTGCCGGGAGGGCGAGGGCTGCCGGCTGAAGCGGGGAGGCCGGTTGGAGCCAGGCTGGGCGAGGGAGGCCTTGGGCCGGATGGCCCCTTTTCACCCCGGGCCCCGCAGCGGCCCTCGTGCTGGGCCAGGGAGCGCTGAGTGTCGGGAAGGGGGGGCGGGGCGGGCCCCGGGTTGTGGGGGGGGCAGGTCTGCCACCGGGACTGAGGCCGTGCCGGCCTTCCGCCTGTTATCAACGGGCCCCGGGCGCCGCCAGCTGCCTTCTCGGGTGGCTCTGCTCCTCCCCCCCCCGGCTCCTCCGCCCGGGCTCCGAGAGGGGAGCTTGGGGTGAGGTAAGCCTGCTGCCCGTGTGTTGCTCCCCACGGGGCGGCTGGGTCTATTGTACAGAAGGAGCATCTGGGGGAGATTTTGTAGTGGCTTTGGGGCTGCTGGCTTAGGAGGATTTGCTGCTGTTATTTTGGCTGGAGAGGAATGTTTTTTATTGCTGTAACTGGCCTTTCTTTTGGCTGCGTTGCTTGCTTGCAGTAAGCCTCCTGGAGTCTTGAGAGCCGGGGGGGGGGGGTGCTTGGTGCAGGGCAGGAGCTGTCCCTTGGAGGGCAGGGGATCCGTGCCCACGCAGGGGTGAAAGCTGTTGTCTAAAGTGACCTCCAAAGGAAGAAACTTCCCCAAGGCAGCTGGCTGCCTCTCTTTCCCTTTCTGTGCACCAGCCCTTTGTGCCCCAGTTCCCCATCCAGGAAAGGGTCTTTTCTGGCACAAAAGGAGCCACCTTTGAACAGAAGTCCTAAAGGGAGACCAGAGCTGTTGCTCTATCCGCTCCCCCTGCAGTCTGACAATATCCTCTCGTGTTCCCCCCAGGATGGATAACGGGTCAGACTCAAAATGTTTCCTTTGGGGCTGGAAATGCACTCATGGTCCTGGCTGATGCCGCCCGCCCCCCCCACCCCCCACCCCGTCAAGGAGGTGGCTGGCGACTGGCTCCACCTGCAGGGACTGTGTGGCCAGTGGCTGCAGCAGGATGAATTTGCATAATGGCCAGGAGTCTCCGTGATGCTCAGCTGCTAGCAGAGATGCCTTGAAAGGGGCAGCCTTTAGGAAAGTCCCTCAACAAGGTCCTTCTGGAGAGCTGAGCAGAGCAACCCCTTCCAAATGGCTGTGGGTCTTTATCCTTCTGTCTCTTTTAGGGCAAAGCCCTTCAGGCCAGGCCAGTACCCCTAGGCCAGCTGAGGGGCAGGAGGAAAGCCTTGATTTGTCTTCTCCCCTTAAGGCACCAGCAAACTGTTGGGCCATTTGTGGGGATCTTTTTTGCCAAGAATTCTGTGAGAAAAGCTGCCCCCCCCCTTTCCCCTGGCTTTTCTCATATCTTTCCTAGCCTGCCCACCAGCCTATCTCAGCAGCTCTGCATCTTTCTTTCTTTCAGCATGTCCAGCGACCCTCCTCCACCCTACCCTGGGGGGCCATCAGCACCCCTCCTGGAAGAGAAGGATGGGTTCCCCTTCCCCGCAGGTGAGGCTCTGTTTGTGACCCATTACCCACCTGTTCACCATTCTCTCCATGTGACACTCCGTTCTTCCAAATCTCTTCAGGTAGGAGCTCTCCAGCCATGGTGCAGCCCCCTTCCGATGTTGGCCCCCCGCCCTATGAAGCAATGCCTCCCCCCCAGTCAGGCTTCATCCCCCCTCCTATGCCAGCAGAGAGCTCGATGCCCTACTTCCCTCCTGGTAAGTGGCACTTGCATGGGAGACAGGGAGGGTTTCCTTTCAAATCCCCAGGGGGAAGGTGTGTGCCAGCCTAAAAGCTGCTCCCACTCGGCAGTGGCTGGACTAGCACATAAACCAAGTGTGACAGAAGAGAATGTCCTGTTGTCATAACAGGATCTTATCCTGCCGATTAATATCAAGGCAGTATATAAATCTCCAATTAAAGCAATATGATGTGCAGCAAAAAAATAGTTAAACAGAAATCAGGCAAGGGGCTGCAGGTAGTTCTCCACTTAGGGCCCTGGGTTCTGTCCTGCCCTCAAGTGGCCTTCGGTTACAAGGCCATGAAACCTTTTGTAGGATGGCAGCTGCCCAGACCGTGGTCCACTGGGCAGTTGCTCTGCCTTGGCAGTTCTGGAAGCTGTGAGTGCAGCCAGGGAGGAGGAATTGGGACAGGCTGATCTCTAGATTCTCTGCCCTGGCCTGTTAGGAAGGCAGTGGCTGGGCAAGGAGTCTCCCTCTGAGCCGTCCGGGCCTTAAACAAGTCCCTTCTTCCCTTCCTGTCTAGGTGGCTACTATGTGCCCCCGGGGCCACACGCCCCTATGGGCTACTATTCTCCCACTGGCCCCTGTGCCCCTGCTGGAGGGCAAACGGCAACCATGCTAGTGCCATCGGGCACCGCAACCACTGTGACGGTCCTGCAGGGCGAGATATTCCAGGCTGCCCCTGTCCCAACAGTGTGCCCGCATTGCCAGCAGGCCATCACCACTAAGATCACCTATGAAATCGGCCTCATGAACTTTCTTCTGGGCTTCTTCTGCTGCTTTATCGGGTAAGTGGGGGCGGCGGCTGTGAAATCTGAGCTTGAAGCAGGCTGGGGAGGGGGGGAAGCGGGGGGGGAGTGTGCCCATCCCTGCAAGCCATTCCTTTGGGGCAGAACCTCTTGCGCTCGCTCTCCGAGTGGAGGGAGGGGGCATCCAGGGCTCTGTTTCCCTCTCCCTCCCTGGCAGGAGGGCTGTGGATGCAAAGGAGCCCCTGCTGCCCCTCACGGTCTCCCCTCTCCCTTCCAGGTGCAACCTGGGCTGCTGCTTCATCCCCTGCCTGATCGATGAATTTAAGGACGTGACCCATACCTGCCCCAACTGCAAGGCCTACATCTACACCCACAAGCGCAAGTGCTAGCAGGCCCTGCTCGGCTGGAAAGCTCTGCTGCGGCTGCCACCCCCCTGGTTTACCTTTCCCACCTGCTTTTGTGCTTTTCTGCTCCCCTTCATCCTTCGCCCAGAGAGGCTCCGGGGCTGTGGTGCCCCCCAGGGCTGCCGGGGATCTGCTCGGCTGGCTCTTGGGGGGGAGATGGAGAAGCTGGGTCAGACGGGTGGCTCTCCTCCAAGGCAAGGCACTCCTGGTGCCTGGCTGCGGCTGCCTTCGGTGGAAGGAGGCCGGCCTCACCCGCAGCAGGCAGAAGGAGAAGGAGCAAAGTCCGTGGTGCTCTTGGCTTTTTTATTTTATTTTATTTTCTTAATTGAAGAATTTAAATATCATGGTAAAAGTAAATACAATTAAAGTCAGAAAAAGATAGTATAGAAATGCAAAGTAAGGAAAAAGATAAATAGAAAAAAGGAAAGAAAGAAAAGGAAATATGTAAAGAAGTGACTTCCGGTTTTCCTCACAAGTAAAAGCAGATTTCATGTTGCCCCCTACAAAATTACAAATAATTTTTTTCTACCCATCTTTTCAGTCGTAGTGTCAACAAAAGATCCATAAAGCATTACCAGAGTTTTATAAAAAAAAGTCTTGCTTTAACCTTGATCAACAAATTGTTATTCCTTTCTTGTACTTCTAACAATCTTGATCTTTAATTCATTCGGATGCTGCTTTTTTCCGTAGCTTCTTTTGTAAATCCAGTGGAAAGTCATTATCCAAATCATTGTCTTAGTTTGCTTTTGTATTTGCCCTTTGATTTCCTAAGCCTTAACCAGCTTCTTTTATTTATCCAGTAAAGTCATCAGGGTCATTCTCTTGGCTCTTGTCATCCACACTTGTTCCTATCATTTTTATTTCCAATTTGAGTGCCTTGTCTATTTTGTAATCCACACTTTTCTACCCAATATTTCTGATTCCACTATTTCTTCATCAAGTAAAATTTGTTACGTCTGTCATTTCTTCATCTTTTAGACAGTCTATACAGAGAAACAGACATTGTTACTGGTATTGTTAATACTGATTTCTGGTCCTATTCTTCAAAGATCTTTAATATTTCAAATGTTAACAGTATTTTGTATAATTTTGTAAATCCCAATCCTAAAGGCAAGTTGGGGTTTTTGTTTTTTGGGGGCCTGGATTTTAGTCCCCTCTATTGTCCAACTTAAATCACAGGGTCTCTTATCTCTGTTATGACTTGCGGTAGCCAAAATAATTCTGGTTCTTACAAAAGCTATTTATATTATATAGTTAATTCTAAAATCTTATGATAGAACTTTCAATATTCCAAATTTGTTTGGAGTCTTAATTTGTTTGTAACTTTATTTCAAAATCTTGTTTAACTTTTTGTCTTTTATCTCAATTTTTTTAAGTTCTGAAACTTACAATTTTTCTTTTGTTCAGGATAAATATTCATTCACCAGGTGACGTTTCAGAATAGTCCCTCTGAAGACTGTTAGCATTAAGATGTTTAAATAAGCAATTTCCAAAAGTGATTAGAAGGGATGTTAGTGAACTTAGTGTCCTTTCAAAGGCGCCAGCCGATCCCTTTGTCTCCTGGAACTGATATCCACAATAGACCACTCCCATTCAGTCCCATGTGGGCGATCCCTCATCGTCTCCTTATCTGGAGTGGTTCTAAAGATTCAGTCTACTCACCTGTTTGGTGTTTTGTCTCTGCTGTCTACGGAGACATGTTTAGCTTGTCAAGGCCCCACCCCCAGAAGTCCAGGGCCATGGGCTTTCCTGCCTGTCCTTGGCGTTGCAAAGGCCAAGGTTTCCTTCTCCATGTCGGTGGTTCCCACGCCTGTGATTGCTTTTTCCACTCTTGAAGAGGCTGTTTGTTTTTTGATTCTGCACAGCTTCCTGTGCTTTGTAGATTATGGCCAGGCCAGCACTGGAAGCCAGTCTGCTCCTTGCTTGCAGGAGATGTGCCTGCCAGAGTGAAGCAGCTGCAGAGTTGCTCAGAGACCTTATTCGGGAGAAAGAAGAGGCCCAGCCAAAGTGTAGGGTTCCCCATGCAAGCATGGAGAGCTGGCTCCCCCATCATCCTTTCTCTTCTGTTTTGTCTGAGCCATCTCTCTCAACTTGGGTGGGCCAATGGCACCGTCCATCTTAGCTGGATTTGGATCCTGTTTGCCCATTGGAGGTGTGCAGGAGGCCCAGAGCCAGCCCCCAGGCTGCAGGTATTCCTCTGTTCCGAGCCAACCCTAAGCCAAGAAATTGTGCTTGTCCCAGGTTCCCTTTTGTGGCTGCTTGTTGTTTCAGGTACTAAACTTAATAACTACTGTATGGAAATGTGAAAACCCCGTAGGCACACACACATGCCATCTTGCACTAGTTTTGCTAGAAAGCCCTTGTCTGGCCGATGAACAAGGGTGCACAGGCGCTCCTGAGGCTTGTGATGGGATAGCAGGTGGCTGGTCTGAGTCCCTGTCTCAGTTTTCCAGAGCCTGGGCTGCCTTGTCTCAAGCCCTTGTGCCCCTGTGTGTGATACTGCCCAGGCACCTGTTCGCCCAAAGGCTATCCACTGAGGCTGCAGAGCACAGATGGGCTTGGCCTGGGTCTGAGGACCTCTCTAAAGCACTAGGAACCAGCAGGGAATTCTCATCCCGTTCTTCTTAGAGAGAAGTAACCTGTCACAGCTCTTCCATGTTTGTAATCAAATAAAAAGACTGACCCTCAGCGGTTGTTTGCTGTGTATCTGGGGTATAATCCAAAGCCTGGATGTTGGGGGTGGAGAGAAGGGGGCCCTGCTGGTCACCCAGGGAGGGAGAAGGGAGGATTGCTTGGTTTTATGTAAGGGGCTGGGGCGGACCAGAAGTTAACCTGGAGCTCATTTTGCCCCTCTTATTTTCACGTGCCAAGTGAGGACACACATGAGGCAGTCCGTCAGAGGAGATTGAAAGTACCCTCCCCAAATCATGCGAACTGCAGAAACCAAAGATTAATTTTATTTTGTCAGAGGCATCACCATAGTCTATAAGTTACATGAAAATTAAACCATTACCACTTTCCATATGTACAAATCGGAGACCCTCCTGCAACTAATGGGAGTGAAGAACCTTCTGCATCCAGGTGAGAAGGCTGCCTGTCTGTGCCCCCCATCACCCCCTCCATGTAGCGAGGAAGAAAAAATCTCAAACCATTCAGCCCCTCCCTCCCCCCCCCACCGTCAATAGCTCATGTTTTCTATCAGTTCTGCCACTAATTGCTTGGACACACAGGCATTTGTACACTAGATTTGGGTTTAATGTTTCCTCAATTAAATCCGGCATTAAAAGTCCACTTATGTCAATGGAAAAAAGGAGCAATTTCTTCAAGAGCCAACAGGCAGCCGGTGCCCAGCCTCACATCACGTACCAGGCTGCAATGCCAGCAGTGACCGCAACGCAGGCTGCCAAGACCAGCTGGACGGTGGGCTGCTTCAGGGCAGCCAGGGCAAGGTGGCAGGGGCAGGCAGTGTCCTTGGAGCCAGCTGAAGAGGAAGAGGAAGAGGACCGTTAGAGGCTGAACGAAGCCAAAGAGGGAAGAGGAGGAAGCCTGGGACCTACCGGGTTTCGAGGCATAGTACGGGCACTTGCGCATGTCTCCCTTCCCGTCATGCATTGGGAGGCCGCCATCTTGGGCTTCTTCTGGTAACAAAGCCCCGATCTTGTCCAGCTCCTCAAAGACCTGCAGACAAAAACCAAGAATGCCCTAAGCTGAAACAACAGTCACCAGGAGTGCTCAGCTTATCTAGGCCCAGCCCTTGTGGGCTGCTCTGGACTCTAGCCAGACTGCACTCCTGATGGCAAATCAGAGCCGCCCCATAGCAGGAAGCACTTCAGAGAGCGATGGGCCCTGGGAGCGGCCTCTGGTGCAGAAGGACTCACTTTGCTGCTGGAGGACTCCAGGCCTGTCCCTCGGGATGTCAGAGCAGGAGGCAGGATGCAACTGGAGGCCTCCAGGGCCCTTACGGGGCCTGCTGGCTCAAGCCTGACATGCCACAAAAGATGCTGCTCGTTTGGCCACAGAGAAACCTGAACTTGGCACCACTGGCTGGTGAGGGCCGAGGGTGGGCTGAGGGAGATGTGACGGACTCTGCTCAAGAGGGAAATGGCAGACGGCCTTGGGAAAAGAGGCAGCCCGCGCCCGCACGCCCCCAGAAGGATGGATTCAAGGAGGGGTGGCTTTAGCAGGCACCCTGAAATCCAGCAGCCGCACACCTGCATGTTGAATTCAAAGGCCCTGTTGGCCTCCTTGACGATCCTCTCCTTGGTCTCCTGGGACACATCCAGGGCGTTGAGCCGGGCTCGGTAGAACTGCTTGAACTGCTGGGGGTTGGAAATGTTTTCAAACATGTAGAAGTTGATCCCTTCTCCAGTGCTTGGCAGCTTCAGTGCTCGCTGGGCCACCCTCTTCAGCACCTGACCCCCAGAAAGGTCCCCCATGTAGCGGGTGTAAGCATGGGACACCAGGAGCTCCGGCTCATGCTGCCCAACATGATGGATGCGGTCCACGTAGTGCTGAGTGGCTTCTGAGCACTGGATCTTCTCCTCCCAGCCTTCCCCATATAAGTACTCCAGGTCTCTTGCCAAGGCTTCCTTCCGGTGCAGCTCCAAGGGGAAATACAGAGGGGTAAAGCTGGGCTGGTCCTTGTTGTGCTCCATCTCCTCCTCCAGCGCACAGTATGTGAAGTAAAGGGCTGCTGTGCCCAGCTGCATGAGAACAAAGGAGCCATGAGAGGCCAGTGGCTACCAGTCCACCCTGTTGTCCGAGCCATTGTGTAGCAGGACTGCTGTGCCTGAGGCTGCCTTGCTCCCTCAGACCAACGTGCCAAGGACAGCAATGACCCTTCGCTTTAGTGAAAGAAACACCTCCCAGTTGGACACATCCAGGACCGAAAGTTTCATTTCCAATGCATTGTAAGCCAGAAAAAGGAGATACAAATACATTAAAGAACCCAGAACTGCTGAGATGGAGGGGTGACTCCAGAGAAGCCAAACCTCTTTTGCCACAGATGGAGCTGTTCCGCTCCAGAGCAGGGCATCCATCAGCATGGGCTAAATTTGTCTCCTCTTCTGACCCCAACCAGACTCAGGACCCGGATAAAGCAGGATGTACCTTGAAGAGCTCCCTCTTGATGCGTCCCTTCAGGAAATCTTTGACAAATTGAGTGTTCTCAGCCCGGTCATGGGCCTCCTTTGTCCCTTCTTTCAGCAGCTCAGAGAGGTCTGTGGGACTGTGGAGAGACAGGGGTCCCGGGGAGAATGGCAGGGCACTGCAAGCTCAAATCATCTGCAGGCAGCAGGGCAGGCCCTCAACTCTGGAGCATCGGGGCAGAGCAAGCTTTGCGCCACAAATAACTCAACCACGTCTCCCACCTTTTGCACCCAGGCCCTGACAGGCAAGCTCACTCCTCAGAAAAGGGACTGGGCGACGTCAGAGACCATGCTGTGCCAACCGCAGACTGGCATTGGCAGTCCCAGAGACGGCCCATCTCTTTGTGCTCCAGCAAGAAACTGTCCTCCCCCACCCCTGGGAAAACGCATCCTCCCTTGCATGACACATTTGCCAAGGTGTTTCAGCCTCTCAGCCTCCACCTGCCCCTCTGAGAAGCAGAAGACGCTACCTGGTGTTCTTCTCCTCCTCCTCTTCCTCCTCCTCCTCCTCCTCCTCCAACTCTTCCTCCTCTTCCTCCTCGTAAGAATGGCTCTCAGGCTCATCCATCAGCTCAGCAGCCTCGGTCGACATGGCGCCTAACCTGCTGCGCTGCGGTCCCGGTTCAGCTCCAACGTCCTGCTCGGAAAGGGCCCACCACCAGTTAGCCTCCCGGAGATCCTGCTAGGGCAGAGCGCCGCAATGCTCAAGCGAGGCCGTCGGCGCCTCCATCGACAGCGCCGGGAAGCGCCGCGGCCGAACAACGGGCCCGGGGGCCGGGGAAGCCGCCTCGGGCCCGCAGGTGCAGCGCAGGACGGCCCTGATCCTCGGGGCGCCCGCGAGAGACGGGCTGCTCCCCGTTGGCCGAGGAGCCGCGCGGGGCCAGGGGGTCTCGCCCAGCCCTCCCGGCGCCCCCGCCAGGCCCGGAGGCCGCGCGGATCCAGGTGGGTCGCCCGCCTCGCGGATGGGAGAAGGCCGCAGCGGGCCGGCGTCCCTCGCGCGCCCGCCGGTTACCTGCCAGTCGCCGCCGCTCCTGCCGCGGCTCTTCCGGCCAGGACGCGCGGCTCCCGGCTGGCTCCGCCCCCCTCTGTCGCGCGCACAAAGCGCGCTGAATATGCATGAGCCGCGCGCGGGGAGGCGTCACAGCGCCCCCTGCAGGGCAGGCTCGTCTCCTTCGGCGCTGCGTCCTCGGGCGGCGGCCTTTTCCCGGGTCTGCGCAACCCGCCGGCCGCAGCCGCCCCGTTTGCGCCCCGCAAGCAGAGAACGGAGCCTTGGACGGCGCCGGCCGGGACAGAGCAGAAGCAGCCAACTCCCTGGCCGGTTGCGTGGCTGCCCCCGCCGGCAAGCGCCTTCCCTCCAAACTGGCCCGCGTTGCAAGGCAGAAGCAGGCCGGTCCCTCGGGTAATCTTTGCCGGGCAAGGCCATGGTTACACGGAGGCTCCTGCAAGCCCCCCCGAGCGGCTGCTGGGGAGGATGGGCCAGTCGCCCTTCCTGGGCTCCCCTGGAGGTTGCCAGCTGCTCCTGCCTTCTTAGCAGCCTTCTGTTCCCACTGGCGGGGGGGGGGCAAAAAGTGCGCCCTGTTGCTTATTTTTCTGCTTTTTAGCAACTCTTTTCTCCGGCGGGGATAAAGCATAATGCAAGCGGAATCAGCGTGATCTCTTACGTTGCCCTTATCTCCAAGAGACTCCTTCTGCCCAGTCCGTGGCTGAGACTATTCTGGAGCAAAGCAGCATGGCCTCATTGCCTGAGAGAGTGTGAGGCCAAGTGTGACCTTGGGAGCTCTCTGGGGAATTTGTTCAAACCTCAGGATGAGACTCTGTACTCAGCACAAGGTACACTTTATTTTTGCTCCTCAACCTCCCCCCCCCCCAAGCAGTCAGCTCCATTCAGAGAGAAACAAGTCCAGGAAGGCCAACAACCTTCCACAACTCCCCCAGTTGACAACACTGCAATCTGACATCTAGAGGAGAGGCCTCCTGCCTTCAATGGAGCCATCAACGTGTCAATGCACCTTCAACGTGTGTCCATCTTCGGTTCCAAAGAAGCCAGCATCACGCCTTCCAGACTGCTACTGCTCCATCATCTAGTTTCCAGTGGAACGTTTACCTAGGGCCAAAAGAAAGACATCTGTGACCTTCACAAAGACTGTGGACAGATCTAGATCTCTCAATAGCCAAGCCAGGACTCCGGTGCCCCCAGCCTCAACAGTCACTTTTAAGGCTCCAGATCTGCTGCAAAGTTTTAGGGAGGCTCACAGATGCAAGAACTGAGGAATGTTTAACTAAATACAAGCTCTTCTGCAATGATACCTGGAGTCTTTGGTATAATACCAAGGGATGAAAACTGCAGCTACTAATGCCCGCTCCTCTGGTCCTTATTATTTGTTTTTCTGTGCAGCTGCTGCCTTATGAATGCTGGGAGCCCCTGGGAGTAAGGTGAAGCAGCTTGGGGGGGGGGTGCAAGAAAAGACCCAGAGGCAACAGGGTTTCTGTCCACAGAAGTCCAGCCACCAGCAAGGAGTACGTCAGCTTCATCCTCCCTCCCTCCCTCCCTCCCTCCCTCCCCTGTTTCTGCAAACAGCGAACACAGAGACCTGTGCATGGAAAGATCACAAGAGGCTTCCTACCTCTGGTGCAGTTAATCAGAAGCTAAACATTTTCTTAAGTTTAGCTAGGAATCCCTCTGTGCCGTCCCCTGCCTCAGGCCTCTCCTCGCCTGCCCCTGATCTAGTCGTGCCCCTGCCACCTAGACACAAATAGCAGAGAGCTTGGTCAATACACGTTGTGAGAAGGATCCTTGCCCACCTAGGGCAATTTCCCAGCCTCAGGAGCGGCCGGGGGGGGGGGGGATGAAGCTGAGAAGTTCCCCCTTTCTCAGGCCATCTTTGCCCAGGACCTGAGGAGAGTTCAGATGACAGGGAAATGGGACAAGCTCTTTTCACCTAAACTTGTCTTTGGCGGAACATGCCTGTAGCACTTTCTGGGCTCTCCCCTTTCTCCTAGATTGCTCCTGTTGTGCTATGTATGTTTAATGACACTCCCTGCACACAGCAACTATTTTGGCTGTCTTCTCACTACAGCTTTATTTCGGTCACTTATCATTTAGCCTCCCTATTCGTTCACCGATTGCGAAACTATGAGTACTTCATCTCAACACGAGGTACGCATTCTAGCACATGTCAATGTCATAGAGAACATCCTTATATTAAAGCAAAGCACCCCCCTCTCCCTTGTAGACTTGCTAAAGTGCTCTGAATGTCTTGGGGAGCAAACAACTCGAGCCCTGAATCGGTGGAAAGACAAGAATGCTCATGAAATGGAAGTCAACCAATTGCATCTTGAAGGTCACTACAGGGCAGGGAAAGCACTACAGGAAGGCCAAAAACTGCTCTCAGTTGGGGGATTTGTTCCCTCTGCTAAGCCATCAGCCGGCCATGCTGCCAACTCGTCTACTGCACTAATTCAGCTTCAGAAGTCAGTAAAGTTCAGTGCATTGTGGAAGCCCAGAAAATTGAGCAAAGCACAGTGGGTAACCCCATTAGGCAAACACACGTAATAGTAGCCTTTTCTTGCCTAAGGAAAAATGGTGACACCGTCTGAGTAGAAGTTTGTAATTCCACTGTGGTCGACATCATTCAAGGCCATAGTTTACACCACCAAACAGAGCTAGCAGCTCAACTATAACCAAAGACAACCTGCCAGCCCCGAAGTGCAGCCAAGATCTGACAGCTCCACAGCTCACCAGTGGTTGTGCTGGCGATGCCATTCACAGTCCCTTCTACGTCAGTTTCATCTTCTGCATAGCTCAGCATCAAGGCTCGCTGGCGATCAGTCAGCCTCCTGCAAGAGGGCAGAAAGAAGGTGCAATAAAGCAGGTCAACGGAGGGCTCTGGAGGAAAGCCAGGCTCTCTTCTCTGGGCACAGAGATCTTGCAAAAGCAACAGGCTGACCCTTCTACCTCTTCTACCCTGTGCCTCCAAAATGCCCAGCCTTCTCACTTACTTGGGAACTTTGACCTTGATATGAATGTAGTGGTCTCCATAACCGTAGCTGTTCACCCTGGGAATCCCCTTCCCACTCATCCGAATCCTCTGGTCAGCCTGGATGCCAGGGGGGATCTAAGAAAGCACAGAAAAAAGATTAAAGCTTTTCAGATGTTTTTCACTCAATGCTTGTGAATTCTTATGTGTCTCATAAATGTGAGAACCAGCCGCCGTTACCAATGCACTCATGGGAGTGAATGTTCTAAGAGGGCGTGGCTGATTTCATAACCTGGGCTGTACACAGAACATCACAAAAAATGCCCATTTTCTCCTGAAGCAAAATGAGGGCAAGTGAAAATACCAGCGGAGCAGCAAATGACCACAGCTGCTGCAGAACAGAAGCGCCAATCTGTTCCTTTCCATGCAAAACCACAGAGCCCTTCCATAGGAAAGACACATGGTTTTGTTTGCAAAAGGGTAACATCCCCTTCATGTTTTCATGGGTCTGTAATCTCAGAACAGATGAGCCGTTTCACTTGTTCTGCACATGTGCCGAGGGACGTACCATAACGTTGATCGTCTCATACAGGCCGGGCGACCTCGCTGTCCCTCCAAGAACAGCTTGTGCTATGGAGATGAAGACGTCAGAGTGGATATCAGCACCATCTCTCCGGAACACGGAGCTTTTTTGAACCTGGAACCAGGGATAGTTCAAGGACTCAGCAAGTGCAGGCGGCCAGCCAGTTTTAAGCATGACATGACATGGCAAAGCTGCAGGTCAGTACGCACCCTGAAGGTAATGAAAATTTCTTTCCTTCCAACAGGCATCCGAACGGTCTGCCCGTCCTCCACACCTAAAGCCAAATAAAGGCACTCAGGGTTACATTTTGCCCAGCACTTCACTTTCTTTTCCTCTCTCATGGCAACTCTGATTTGGAGACTGAAGACTTTAGGATCATGTTCTTACTGTTTGGAACTGCCCATCTCTGATTTCTGTAAGGACTGATCTCCACCCCTGCTGTTTCACTTCAGAACAGCAGCCGTTATTCTGCCCTAGGAGCACTAGGTACATACATACCTGCTGGGACCGGGACCATCACTGTCTTCTTCTGCTTGGTTTGGCCAGAGCCACGACAAATCACACATGGGTTAGTTACAACTGAGCCTCGCCCACCGCATCGCCGACATGTCGAACGCATAACAAAGGGGCCGGTGTTTATCGTCTCCTATCCAAAAGACACAAGGAAAAGTGAAATGTCAGGAAATTTCACTTCTGTGTTGTAATGGCTTCCCCTGACACATGCTCAGATGACCAGGAGCTCCGCTAAAGTCTCCAAGTAGGGAGTGAAAGGGCCGGGGGGGAGGCCAGGAACCTTCTGCATCAGGGGAACAACCGGATGAGTGTCTGGCTGAAGAAGGGAGAGCTGCATTTGGAGGGCTCAGGGACTCAAGTCAGAAGTGTGGGGTGGAGAAGGAATGCAACTGACTCCTCTGCTGGATCCCTGAGCACGCAGGGATCAACGGAGGTTGGGGAGGCTACTTGCGAGGAAGCAGCCTCGCCCTTCCTAATGGCTATACTGGCTGGCAGCTACTTAGCCCAGCATGTGGAGCAAAGCATTTCCTGCTGTGGGTGTGTTTTGTCTTCATGATTCCTGCTTCCAGACCTTGCCTTGACTCTGTGATTGGATTTTGCATCTCGGATTTCAGACTTGGACTTTGATTTCAATTATTATGCTCAGACTATGGACTTGTATTTGGACATCAGACCTGGTGTGCAGACTTACAGATTTGTTCTTTGCCCTCAGACTTGAGGTTGTTCGGGGCTTGGACTCTCTGGGTTTTATGTTTGTTTCTGTGTGAGGTGAGCCCCGGGGAATAATATTAGGGGCTTGTAAAGCCTTAATGAAGACTTCAAACCCCCATGGGGTGTGAGGAGATGTGTTGATTTTAACTGGACCCGGTCAGCGTATCATATCAAGCTCCATAACCATCTGAAGCAAGGAATTGGCTTTCTTCTTCTAAAGCGCTGAGATGCCCAGTTGTTCCCTGCACCAAAGCTTGCTCACACCTGCCCTGTCCTGCACTTACTGTGCCAGTCCCATTGCAGTAGGAGCAATGCACTACTCTGGTGCCCGGTTCATGCCCTCTGCCCTCACAGCGCTGGCAGGTGTCACTGATCTGCACCACGATCTCCTTGTTGACGCCCTTTGCCGCCTGGCTGAAGGTCAGATCCATAATGTACTACAGAGGAGAAGAAAATCCAGAGCTGGGGGCTCCCTGTTCCAAGCAACATTTTGCATACCATATAGAACAAAAGGGAGCATAGAAACCCATCAAGATTGAGAAAAAGCACTATGGCGCCTTTCAGAAAATTAATTCCATGCATGATCAGTGAGAGGGTCATTTGGTGCATAACTAAGGCACTGAGCTGGAAACTGGAGGATTGTAAATTGCAGTCCCGCATTAGGCACGAAAACAGCTGGTGACTTTCAGCCAGCCCTTCTTTCTCAGCCCTAGGAAGAAGGCAAGGGTAAACCCCTTCTGAAAATCTTGCCAAGAAAACTGCAGCGACTAGTCCAGGCAATCACCAGAAGTCAACACTTTTGGTATCAAAGCAAACCAACCAACCAAAACAGACCAACATAATACAAATCAAATTTGCTAATCAAAATGAACCAAAAATCAAATTTGTAATCTACTTCTTCACACTATTTTCTCTTGGAAGCCCATCTTTCTTAATAGATTTCTGTATTATTGTTTCCCCTTAAAATCTAAATATCAAAAAGGATAACTACTGAATTTGAATAAAAGCAATGAATTTGCCAATGAATTTGGGCAAAATCTCTTTGTTAAATGCACCTTGATTTCCCCCCCCCCTTAAACACAGCAAAACCTTCATTTGAGTAATCACTGAGGAGTGAATTTATCTGCTAATTCTGAATATCTGGTAGTTACTAAAGATCCATCATTTGCATCAGATTTCTTATGCAGATGTTAAAACAGGAGGAGCGAAAGCCCCAAGGGACTCTGCACACCAGTGGTCTGGGCTGCAATTCATCTTTACCTCCTGGGGCTGGTCAAAGATGGTGCTAAAGTCTCCAAAAGGGGACTGCGAGAACTCCCCAAAGATCTTCCTGAACAGCTCCTCAGGGTCAATAGTTGGGCCAGTGTGCCTGTACTGCTGTCCGGAACCTGCTGAGCCAGAGCCAAAACCAAAGTCCGCTGTACCGTAAGTGTCATACTGTTTCCGCTTTACTTCATCTCCCAAGACCTGCCAATGATACAAGAGCTCAGTCATCCAGGGGGCCACGTTGGTGGAGCCCCAGTTCCCAAGCCGTGGAGCGTAAAAGTGAGAGTAAGCATGCTACCTCATAGGCCTCAGCCAATTGAGAAAACTTCTCCTTTGCTTTGGGGTCATCCTTATTAGTGTCAGGATGATACTTCTTGGCAAGCTAAGCAAAGAAACAAAAATACAAAAGTAAAAATCATAGACAAGAGATTGTCATTCCTGTGTTTGTGTATTGGGAATTCATGCAACAAATTTTTAAATCAGCTATATAAGGATTGGATTCTGAGACTCTGCTTTTAGTATAACTGTCAGAATGAAATGCTTAGAAATCAGTCTGGGAATGTTAGAATAATCCAATATTACAGAATGGATTCCCCAAGCAGTAGTCTAGTCTTATGATGACATCTCAGTCACAATGGGACGTTGCTGTTTATTTTACCAATCCCTTGCTTTTGAGTACATGGAGTGAACAGAAATATAAAGGAAAACAGATTTTAAGCAATTACTACCCCAAATGCATTGGGGCAGGATTGAGAAGGCGAATGACACAATGTCATTGCCAGTTCTAAAGTTGGAGAGGAAAAAGACTCCTATGCAAGCTGGCTAGGTGAGGGCATTACATGCGTGGCATCCAACCCAGCCAGTACTATTTGCCCCCTTATGGCAAGACCCCCGCATCCTCTGAGAAGCGGCCGTGCCTGGTAATAGGCCTTCTTGATCTCCTTCTGGCTGGCGCTGCGAGGCACTCCCAGAATCTGGTAATAATCCTCTTTGCTGCTGGTCGAGGAGCTGCTGTGAATCGAGGCCGCCCAGACGAGGGGAAGCGGTCGGATTCCTGCGTGAAGCGAAACAGAGGGTCAAGCCGCCTCCCGGCCTCGAGGGAAAGGCGGCGGAGGCGCAGAGACAGACAAGGATAATGGGCCGACCCCTCCGGAGGCCTCTCTCGAGGATCGAGCACCGCCCTGCCAGACCAGCAAGGGTGGGGGGGAGGCAGCGCTCTGCTCGTCCTCAGAGGCGCGCTTGTCGTTCCCGGGCCTCTTACCGAAGCGGTTTCCCATCCGCGGTGCCATGGCCACGCGAGAGGCGACGGGAGCCACGTTCCGCCAGCGGGCCAGACCCAACACCAGCGCCAGGCGCCGCGGCTCTCCGCCGCCCGTCCGGCAGCTCCCGGCAGCGGTTGCTGCCTCCGCCAGCCAGCGTGAGACGCAGCCGGCTGCCATCTTGGGTTGCTCAGTCGCAGTGCGCCTGCGCTCCTCAGCCCGGCGCGCCGGGAGCCCGAATGCGCAAGCGCACAGCCCCGTGGGTCGGGGAGGGCGCAGGCGACCTTTCTTAGAGGTTAACCCCGCCGACGCGAAGCTCGGTCTGCTCCCGGGTCTTAGCACCGCCCGTCCTCGGTCTTGGCGCGGGGATGGGACCAAGGGCGCGCATCCGTTGCGGCCGTCTGGATGTGGGTGTGCTCTGGACTCGGGCTCTGAGCCCCTGCCTGGCCCTCCCCGAGCAGGCATGGAAGTCCCGCGAAGCGGAACTGGGCTTAGCCGAGTGCGCCCGTGTCCGCGGGAGCCCGGAGCGAGACCATTTGTCGGCGTCCTTCAGAGGTGGAGCGCGGGGAAAACACCTTCGCCCGCAGCCCCCGGAGAAGGCTGGGTCGGCCGGTCCAAGCGGAGGGCATGCCCGAGACGGGCCGGACAGGTGGAAGCTTCTCTCCTTCGGGCCCTGCCGCCACGAGCCTCCCCGCCGGAGTGTGGAAAGTCCCGTTTCTCGAGCTCGATGCTAATAGTGAAAGGGAGGACGACGCTCTGACTGAGCTATAGTGGGGAAGGGGCACCATCGGAAGACCCGAAAAGCCGGCTGGGGACAGAGCCTGGCGGAGAAAATCTATTCCTGTGGCCGGCACGTAGAAAGCGGCGAAGAAGGGTTTTAGGGGGCCCCTCCTGGGCTCCAGGGCGCCCTTTCAGACGAAAGGGGGGAGACGCGGTCATTTAGCCAATGAGAAGCTGCCCTAGAGCCTTCGGGTCGCACGGGCATTGGTCTCTCCGGGGCCGAAGGGCCGCTGAAAGAGCCAATTAAAGAGTCCCCGAACCCAGCCACCAATCAGCTGAGAGCTGGTCTGGAGGGAAAACCGAATTAAATGGGGAGCGGCTGTGAAAAGCCGTCAGAGGGGGGGGGGGGGGGGGGGGAAGGAAGGAGAGGCGCGGGATGCCAGGTTCCTCAGGAGGTCTTGAAGTCTGGGGAGCGTTTGCGTTGCCCAGTTCGAAGCGCGGTCCCGCAAGAAGCCACTTGCGGCCGTGGCGCCTGAAGACGGGAGACCCCCTCGGGCTCTCACCGGGATGGTCCCCTGCCCGGCCAACTGCTCAAAGTACTGTGTCTGCCTGGTTTAACGGTCGTCGGCGCCGCCTGCGGGGAAGCGGGCTTCCTGTCCGTCCCCCGCAGCAAGGGAAGGGGCTCAGCTTTGGAGCGAAGGGTCCCGAGCGGCGTTGCTCGGCCTAAGGCGGGAAGAGCCTGTCGCGAGCGGCGGAGCTGCCTCCCCGCGGACGGCCCCTCCCCTCGGAGGATTCCGGGGCCGCTATGGGCGGGGCTTCCGCGGAATCGGATCCGAGGCTGGAGGGCGGCAGCGGCGGCAGCAGCGACAGCATGAGCCGGTTCAGGGTGTCCAGGTTCCGGCACGTCGAGGCCAAAGTGGCCCGCAAGGAGGTGGGTGGGCGGCAGCGCGAGTCGTGCTTACCGCCGGATCGTCTCCCCGGTGAACCGCCGCACCCACCTGCCGGGGCGCGGGCGGCAGCTCGAGCGGGAGCCCTGCCCTGCGTGGCTCGGGCTCCATCGGGAGGAAGCGACCGGCTCAGCCCTCGGCCTCTGCCAGCGACCCCCCGAAGAGGGAAGCCGGCGTTTCCCGAGGCGCCGCCCGACTGCAGAGCTGAGCAGCGCTCGCGTGGGCGCCTCCCTCCTGCCTAGTGAGCCGAGGCCCGGCGCCCTCCCGACCGGGTCTTGGCCCGGGGCAGTCGAGGCTCCCACGAGCCTCGGCCGAGCGAAGGGGAAGTTGTCGGGGCTGCGTCCGGGGAAATTGAGTCTGCTCAGAGGGCGAGCAAGGCGTCTGTAGAAGTGCTGCCTGCTAAAAGGGGCCGGCTTGCCTGGGGCGGCATCCCGGGTGCGAATTGGGCTGGGTTGGGGGTGCAACCCCCGGCTGTCCGGCAGGTGCCTTTCCGCCTTCGCTATAGCCAGGAATTGGAGCTGCCGGAAGTCGGAGGCCCAGCAGGAGCAGCAGCAGCGGGGAATGCGCCGAGCATCTCCTGGTTGCGAAGCCGGGATCCCATCGGGCCGTCGCTTGGGCCGCCCCTGGTTAGGGAGGACGGGTTGGGTCTCATCTCGCCGGCGGAAAAAGCTTCGGAAGAGCCTCTTTAAGCGGAGCCGCCTTTGCTGCTCAAACTTCCGGCTGGAGAGGAAATGCGAAAAACGCTATTTGTGCAACAATTCTGTTTTATTATTTGACAGGCGTTTTGTTCTGGGGGCCTGGCCATTTTCCCTTCCATGCCAGCCGGACCCTTCTCGGTCTCCCTGGGAAGCTGCTTCAGGGAAACACTGAGGGAGATGGTGGGCAAGGGGAGAGAGCTGAATTTGGCAGCCTTAGGCAGGGAAATAAAATCTCCGTCTCGGATGGGGGGAGTCAAAGAAAGAAAGAAGGGGGCAGCCACAGCTCATGATGGCATAAGAGGCCCATTGGCGCAGCTCTAGCCAGAGGGAGGACTCGGCAGTTGGACCCTTGAGTCCGGGGAAGCTGCTGCAGCTTGGCAAGGAGGCTTTCCTGGCTCCCTTTTTCTGGACAGTTTGGCCAACTCTGTCCCGAAGCGTCTTCTCCCTGTCCTTGGCTGTGCCCCGGTCAGCTCTGCTGCTTTAGGCCATTCCCACTGGCAAGGAAGCTGCCCTTTGCTCAGGCCAGATGTCCCCCACTGCCTCAACCTGCTTGTGGGACAATGTGGGTCTGTGGAGGCCTTTCCTCTCCCACCCCCCAGCTTGTACTCCTCTGCACAACAGGCCTGGATTGGAGACCTCCAAAGCAGCGGCCCTTCAGGGAACCCCCGCATCAAGGCCAACTCCCTCTGGATCGCATTCAGCACAGACCTGGCAGGTAAGAGGAGCACAGCCCAGCCTCGCTTTTGTGCTTGCACTTCGACCTGGCAAGGAGTTTGCGAAAATCCCCTGGGTGTGGCCCAGGGAATGTCTCTGCTGAGGGGGGAGAGGGGTGGACCCCCTCCGGCTGGCTCCAGTCTGGCTGCTCGGGAGGAGCTTTCTTCCCTCTAGCAGAGAACTTGCCTTCTGCCACTCCGCCCCCAGACTTGAAAAGTCAAACATCTCCTGTTGATTGGCACTCTGGAGGGGTAGAATTGGCAGAGGGGCCCATCAGGACTGGCCTGACTTGGGTGGGGCCAGGGAGGAAACCCTCCTCCCCAGCACTTGGTGCCTCCCTGCTGTGTACTGGGCACCTTGGGCCAGGTCTGGCCTGAAGCCAAGGTTTCCGAAACCGACACCCACTGATACCTGTCTGGGCAGCTCATGAGTGGAAGGCAAACCAGGGACAGATTTCCTTCTGCCCAGAAGGTGTGGTGCCTGGTGTCTGCCCAGGTGGCTGGCATCATGTTTTTTCCCCGCTTTTGCCAGGCGTGTTGGCTGCTGTGCCCCTGGAGAGCCCAAAGGGGATCAAGGCAGTTGTCTCTCATCTGCACTGCCATTCAGGTGAGCGAGAGACGCTGAGGGGAGGGGGGGGGGCTTTTAGGGACATGGGCTGGTCTCCTAGGTAGAGAATGGAAAAGCTTAGTGCTCGGGTGAGAAAAAGAGTACACAGAGAAAGAGAGAACCAGGCTATCCGCTTTCAGGTCTGTTGGCCAATTGCTTAAGAAAAGCTGCCGCTGTTGCAATTGCTCCCTTGCGCAGCTGCCCAAAGGAAGAGTGTCACACGGCTCTGGCCCCTCCCCCCCCAGCCTTGTCCTACTTCTGACAGACTCTGAGCCAGAGGCAATCCAGCCTCTGCTGCACGGGGTCTCCCTTGCTGGGCTTGCATGCAGATGGGAGTGGGAGTTTCACACTTAGCCTGACATGGGGGCATCGTAGAAGCAGAAGCCAGCCTGCCTGGGACTTTCTGAGTCATCCACATAGGGGGGTGGCCCCCTCCTTCTGCTACATGCTCAGCCAGAGGGCGTGTCAGGGGCATTGCACCCCCACCTCCAAGGGCCCAGGACTATAGGCTGCCAGCTGAGCGCCTGCGCTCTGGAAGCCATAATCTGGACAGAGGCTGTAATGCAAGAGCTGCACTCTGCCTGCCTGCCCCTGGTCCCTCGGAGGGATGAAACCCCTGGCTGTGAGCTGGCCTCAGAAACCTTGCTGGGCCAGCCCAAAGCCAGAAGCTGCTGCTCTCCTTTCTGGGGGAGGCACTTTGCACTGGTGGTGCTGCAGTCCAAAATCTCTGTCATCTGCAGCTTGAGGGGGGAAGCAGGAGAAGCCCCTGGATGGCTGTGCTCACTCTTGGAAATGAGAAAATGATGCATTGTGCCTAAGCCTCAAAGGGCTTAGCTACTTTGGCACACAGACCCACACCTGAAAGCAAAGGGGAGGGGGCTAAATCCTCCTGCAGATGGGAAATCCGGACAGGAAGGGGAGCTGCTGGACCATGGGTGCCTGGAGCGAGATGGGCAGGTGTGCAGATGGGCAGGGGACTCCAGAAATGGAAAATGGAAGGGTGAATCAAATAATAGCAGGATCAGACCTTCCTTCCTCCCTGCCGACCAATCCCCCCAGATAATGGCAATTTCATCCCACTGGGTGGAACAGGGTGGGTGATTTGGTGCCAAACTGAATGGCCACGGCTGGGAGAAGCTGTGCCCCTTTGCTTGGGTGAATAAAGAGCCCTCGGGAGGTTCCCCTCTTCAAGTCCAGCTGGCTCTGCGCTGCAGTGGAAAACCCGCTGACAGATGTGATGGCATCACATCTGCCACCTTTACAGAGGTCACAGGCCCCCTCGGTCTGGGCCTGAGCCCAGAAGTCCCAGCCAGGAACCAAGGGCAGGCTCTGCGATGACCCTTTGGCTGCAGAAGAGAAGAGAAAAGCAGTGACTATCACCCTCCAGTTCCAATCCTCCCTGTCCCGTCCTGTCCCCAGCATGCTGGTAGGCAGTTCCTCGGGGAGAAGCAATGCTCTGACTGAAAGTGGGCGCCCGGCCTTGAGCTGCCTGCTT